ATAGTTAAAATATTTTACTTTGACTATTTACTTCTGCACATAAACACTTAATCATGAAACATGAAATTATTTTGAATTATAGTTTGAATGTGGATGATCCTTATAGGGACAGATATTAAGGAGGAGTAGATAATTTAGGGCAGTGGTTCTCAAACCTGTGATATGCATCAGAATCATTTGGGGAGTTTGTTGAAAATACGGATACTCAGATGCCACCCAATATCCACAAAAACAGAATCTCTGGGTGTGAGACCCGATCATCTTTATTTTTAGCAAATTCTTTGGATGGTTCTGATATATTTCAAAATTCTTGTACCACTGTTTTAGGATGTGACCTGTCTGCCACATTTTCAAGTTACCTACTTGCACAGAAATGCATTTAGAAAATCTTTGACCCATCTCCATGAAATGAAATAATATTAATAGCTACTTCCACTTACTGATTCCCTGCTATGGGCTAGGCATTGTGCTAGACACTTTGGATATGTTTTCTCATTAATCCTCACAATAACCCTTCGGGGTAGTTATCATTATCCCCATTGAGAGGTTAAGAAACGGGAATCAGAGAGGTTACATATCTTGTCAAGTTTACCCAGTAAGAAAGAGGTAGAGAAGGAATTTGAACCCACGTCTTTATATAATTTTTTAAATGTTTGTGTACATGAAATGTGGTCTAAAATGAAGATTTTAAACATTACAAAGTGCCTGGATTAGGACCAATCTGCTGCCATCAAGTTGTAAATCTTTACAGAAGCAAACTGCCACATCTTTCTTTTGCAGAGTGACTGGTGGGTTTGAACTCCCAACCTTTTGGTTAGCAACTGAGCTCTTAACCACTGTGCCACGAATCAGGACAGTAGTGAGTTAGGGGCAGGGTTGTTTTCTTCCATCAAAATGTAGGCTTCAAGGCACGGGAAAAGCAAGAGAGGTCAAAGAAGTGCTGATATTGGTGAATATTCGCCTATTCCAACTGCACTCACAATGGCAGGTCCCCAGGCTGGCCAAGTGGGGGGATTCTACGCAGGGAACCTGAGAGCCTTCCGTTGCTGCTGAGGCCTGACAGGGCTGGTTTTATGCTGTATCAAACTGGCAGAATGAACACCTGGAATCTTACTCTGGATTCTAGTTTTTTCCAGCGTCAATCAAGCAGCCCTAACCTTTTCTTAAAATGAAGAACTGTCCTGTAAATTTAAATTGTCTCCCAGATAACCTCACAGGGCAAAAACAAAGGAAAAGACACAGGTTTTCACCCATTTTGTGAACTGTTTATGGGCGGGGTAGGGGGACCTTTCCTTTTGTTTCTTATGCATAGAGAAAAGAACTAAAATGTATTGTGTGGGGTTCAGTCTAGGAAATAGATTTTGTTATGAAAACCAGCAGTGACTCAGTTGAACATCCAGAGGCAACAAATCTAAAATCAGTGGTTATAAAACACTTTTGTAAAGTGGCATGAAATAGAAATGAAGTGTTAAATGTGAAGAGTACCGAGTTTATTGTTATAGCAAAATATTCTGATAGTAGAAATGTCAGTCCTTTGAGTAGAATATAATTTTTTATTTTTATGGTTTTTTTATGATGTTTGTTCTTTTGTTTTGCTTTAATATAAATTGTCTTCCTAGAAATGTTGCAGCAGCTCCACCAGCAGCTGTTAGAAGCTGAACGGAGGTCAATGACATACCTGAAACGGTACAATAAGATCCAGGCCGACTACCACAATCTCATTGGAGTCACGGCAGAGCTGGTGGATTCTCTGGAGGCCACAGTCAGTGGCAAGATGGTAAGGAAAATCCTCAGTTATCTTCAGTGGTACCTGTGAGAGCCAGAATTCGCTGGGACGACCTTGTTTTTCTGGGTCTTGCAGGTGTCCTGCCTCTGGCAGGCTGTAGTCTTACCACTTCTCTATTGCTCATTTTAATGGAAGGCATTTGAATTTTCCTTCTCTGAAAGGTTTCTGCCTTACACGGTTCCAGCTTTCCCAGGTTTTACTGTGTATGTCTATTTCAAGGAAAAGACGTACCATGGGCATGGACTATGTTGATATGGGATTCCTGGTCGCTCCCCACCCAGTGAAGCCTGCCTCCTGCTTCAGAGTATAATGTGCACAGAAGAAGAACCCAAGCTGCTGTTTCGAGCTATTTTTAATCATGCACTTGCAATATTTTACCCATTTTCCCTAACACATTATCTACCATAGCTTTATTTTTCTACCTTATTCTTTCTGTTGTAAAGGATAAATTGTCTGGCAGCAGAAAAAACCAAAACTGAACTGTGGTAGCATAAAAATGGAGGGGGGCGGAGGGGAATACCTTGCTGCTGGTATGTACGAAAACGATTGATTTTCACATATTTGTATCCAGCTACGTTTGGGAACTCTGTTAACCTGATAGACTTTTTTAATTGATTCCCTTATATCCTATTTTGACAATCATATCATCTGCTTGGGAAGGTGGCCGCTTGTTGAAAGATGACATAGGGGAGGTAGCTTGGTAAAGGCCGAGAAGAGATTTGTAGACCGTGCTAAGGAATTTGTGTTTTATCCTGTAGTTAGTCAGGAGGTATGAAATGTAGGTTTGAAAAATAGGACTTTGGATTTTTTAAATTAATTAGTTTCTTGTTTTGTTTTTGGGGCTTGGTTTTTATTTATTTATTTCGCTTTAGAAATAACATGCATTAACTTTTCTCTAATACAAACAAAGTACCAGAAACGAACGGTGGCTCGTATAACCCCTGCTGACACAAAAAGAAAAAAGTAAGCTGTGCCCATGGGTAGAAAATGTAAACAGTACAGAAAGAAAGAAAACCAGTTCCTTTCACCTGCCCTCCTATTGAAAAATAACCGCCATTTTCCTGAGTGTGTCTCCTTACAGCCAGGGTGAGTGTTACGCCCGGTATGCATGTTGACTGCTGATGGACACGTGAGCCCTCCTGCTGGGGATGCAAGCAGAGGTTCCAGACCTCCAGGCAGGGATGCTGAATATCAAGACAAGGCAGAGGATGGAGGCTGGCTCTGAGCTAGTCTGTTTTTCATTGTAAAATAAATACATCCTCATGGTAAAAAATTTAAGCAGTTCAGAGGAGTATATAAAACTAAATCCACTGCCGTCGAGTCGATTCCAACTCATAGCGACCCTATAGGACAGAGTAGAACTGCCCCATAGGGTTTCCAAGGGTGTAACCTTTACGGAAGCAGACTGCCACATCTTTCTCCTGCAGAGCAGCTGGTAGGTTCGAACAGCTGACCTTTCAGTTAGCAACCAAGCACTTTCACCCCCATGCCACAAGGGCTCCTGAGAAATGTGTAGGGCATAGTAAGAAGCAAAAGCACCCCCACCCCATTCCTTAATCTCATTTCTTCATTAGGATTCAGCGTTGAGGTTTTCTTGTGTATTATTTCAGAACATTTCTATACACATACGTGTGTGTATGTGCACGTACATGCTTATACATGTAGCATACATGTACTTACTTTGGATACTGTTATGCATTACTGTTCTGAAACTTTCAATATATCATGGAGCTCTTTCCCTGTGACTACATCTACCTCATTCTTTTTAATGCTTGTATATCACTCTATTGTAAGAGCGTACCAAATTCATCACATCTCTGATGGTGAACAGTTAGTGGGGTTTAACTACTACAAAGAAATGTAGCAGTGAACATCCTTGTATATACATTATACCTTTGAATATAGGTAAGATAAAATCCTAAAAGTGGAATTGCTAGGTCAAAGCTTATGGGCATTAAAATTTCAATAGATGTTGTCAAATTATTTCTTCTAAAATGTCAACAGCGTCTACCCTCCAGCAGTATATCAGAGTGCCTGTTTCTCCATGTGCTTACCAACACTGGATATGAGTAAACCTGGAAATCTTTGCCGGTTTGGAAATGAAAGCTGGTATTCTTATTGCTTGAATTTACATTTCTTTAATTATGTGTGCCACCACCTACCTGTCAGCTTGTCATGCTGTGGTGGCTTACGTGTTGCTATGATGCTGGAAGCTGTGCCACCAGTATTTCAAATACCAGCAGGGTCACCTGTGATGGACAGGTTTCAGCAGAGCTTCCAGACTAAGACAGACTAGGAAGAAAGGCCTGGAAACTTACTTCTGGAAATTAGCCAATGAAAATCTTATAGATCACAATAGAATATTGTCTGATATTGTCAGACATACCAGGATCACGAAGACACACAGAACTGGGTAACGTTTCATCCTGTTATTCGCAAGGTCTCCATAAGTTGGAGCTGACTCGATGACAACTAACAAATTATCTGTGAGGCTGAATATATTTTCATGTGTGTGTTTGTTGGCCGTTCATATTTTGGTTTTTGTCAGCTGTCTATGTCATTTCCTCTTCACCAGTTTTAAGCAAGAAAGTGACAATCAGATTTGCTTATTAGGGAAATGGTCTGGTAGCAGTTACAAAAGTCAGAGAAGAGTTTCAGGAGTACGGAGATGATCCAAAGACTGAAAGCCACAGAATACTCTAGAAGACTAGAACTGAAAAGTATCCAATATTTTTGACACCTAGAAGGTCATTCGTGATGACCTTTGCCATACCGAGTATGAGGAATAATGCAAATGGAAGCTTGATTTCATCACGTTGAAACGTAAAGGGGAGATGAGACAGCAAATGTAGGTTGTAAAGGAAGGTGATTGAGAGGGTGGTCGATAGATGAAAATAGGGTGGAGGAAAGGGAAGGTGTTTTTTTAAATAGGAGATGGATTTGAGCAGGTCTTTGGCTTTTAGGGAAGGAACGAGTATAGAAGGGAAGATTAAAAATACAGGAAAAACAGGAATGTTTAAATCTTAAGTACTATAGGAATTCAGGCTTTGGTGGCACAGTGGTTAAGAACTCAACTGCTAACCAAAAGGTCAGCAGTTCAAATCCACCAGCTGCTCCTTGGAAACCTCATGCAGTTCAGCTCTGTCCTAGAGGGTCGCTGTGAGTTGAAATCGACTCCACAGCAACGGGTTTGGTTTTTGGTTGCACTCAAGGGTAGGGTAGGAGGTTTAGCCTTGAGACGAGCCCCTCTTGGTCTGAGGCTTCATATACTGCTGAGTGTTGAGAGAGTTCTCAACGGTTTGCTTCCATTTTCTCTCTGAAGTAGGAGACCCATCTGTCACTGAGGTGGGGAGCTAGCTGGAGGCTGTGGGTGGGGCTCAAGAAGGGTGGTGGAGGTGGAAGTGTGGATTGGTTTTTGTAGGGAATAGGAGGGTTTGCTGATCAAGCAGTAAAAGCGTACCAGTTGGTGCTGGGGTTTGAGACATAAATTTGTGGCGGTGGCATCAGTCTGCCTAGTTGGGTGGTTTTATTTGGTAGAAACCTGGTTTATGAGAGGACAAGAGTGATGGGGTGGGTCCAAGTTGGGGGGACTTGCAGAGTGACTGGTAGAAAGACGTGGCGACCAGGACATTGAAGTGAGGCCAGCAGTGGGCTGGGAGAAGAGGCAAGGCGGAGGGCTTAATGTAGAGCAGATGTCCTGGGAATGAAGAAAGAGAAGATTGTCATCCAAAGTGGATTTTGAAGCCCGACTTGAACCCGGATCTTCAGGTTTTAAGCCCAGCGTCCTTTCCACCGTATTAAGATCATCCACTGACTTTTTTATTGGAATTAACAAAAAATGGTTTAAATCAGTTTATTTTACGTAATTTAAAGTCTGATGGCCTGTGATCACGCCTTCAGTCCGTCAGCAGTGTTTTCTGTCAGGCTCAAGGCTTTAACTCCCAAGAGCTCTGACATTAAAGCAGCATGGTGATTTTTTTGCTCATACATCTAATCTCTGCACGTTACAGAAAGACTGCAGCGCCCCAGCTCTAATAATTGCTAGCTTGGCTCAAATGGTGCTCTGGTGAGTTTTGCACCTTTCACCAGACCTCCTCATGTCCTCTTTGCAGATCACTCCGGAATACCTTCAGAGTGTCTGCATCCGCCTCTTCAGTAACCAGATGCGGCAGAGCCTGGCTCACAGCGTGGACTTCACGAGGCCTGGCACGGTGAGGCTCCGGCTCTGGCTGTTCTGTGCTCAGCAGTGTTACTAGGGAGGTTTTGGGGTGCAGACAGCACTGGGTGACACTGTCAGAGGGGATGACACCAGAATGACTAAAAATACCCCTGTAGTTAGGTATAACAACAAAAACATTTTTGGTAAGCCCAGCTTACATGTATCACTATACTTACACGGCTAAAACTCTATGCTAATTTACTTTTTGAACCTTCTAACGTGCTCATGTGAGAGCTGTCATCATTACCCAGTTACAGCGATGCTTCAAATCACATGATTTCAGCGGCACACGCTACAAGCGCGCGCTGTTGTTTTTGTCGTTGCTGGTGTTTTTATAGTCACTAATTTTGTCGAATTTTCTGGTGTTTTAGCTACAATATTGTGGTAATTAGTATTTGTGAACCTGTATCAATAACTTTTTTGAGAATGAAGTAGTAATTAAAGTAAAAAAAGTATGATATATGGGAATTACGAGTTACAAGTAACATTAGTACAAAAAACATTACTAAAGATTCCGTATGGTCTTGTATGGGAGGAGGTCCATGGTGGGGGTGACACCATGAGTTACCACACTGGGTGACACCAACCCTAGTGACACCATTGCTGTAGTGTGCCTGGTCTTCCCCAAACAAAAAACGTCGCCACAAAAAATGAATGATCCTGAGAAAGTAACTCAAGAGGCTGCATTTCAGTGGCTTTTGAGGTCTGTAAGCTCCAAGAAGAAAATGAAGGCTATTTCTGAGTATCACACCTAGAATGAACAGCAGAAGGACGGACTCCTGGGATTGGTAGGAGGGAGACATTGTTCTGCTTCTCCAGCTGGAGCTTCTTGCTAGAGCGCCAAGGGCTGGTAACAGTTTGCTGCAAATCGATAGCTCTTTTTAAAAACATAACCCCCAGATTGGAAACTATATGGTGTAAGGCAGGGGTTGTTTACTTGGAATAATTGCAAACTTAGAGGAAAGTTTGGAAAATAG